ATTCGAGGAGAATATGTTCATCTTGGGAAGACGGAGTGTTTTATGGACCATATGGTGGAAAAGATGTTCCTTTGAGATAGAGGGGGCACAGGTGGAGAAAGGTGAAACCATTGATCAGATCCGGACACTGGTACAGCACGAGATTGCGACGCAATGGAAGACGGCTAAAGACAAACTCGACCAAATGCACTCTTGGGGAGACATGAACAGAATTATCTCTATGTTCTGCAGGAATTGGCTAGGGGGAGAAAGGGAGGGATGGGTGGCGCGGGTAAAATGGACTGGTGGCCAGCCAGAGAGGGACTCACAGGAGGAACCCCGGGCGGGGATAGTAAGAGACTATCAACTGATCTTTCATGACTGGACCAAGGTTGACCCCGGCTCTCCGCTGCGGCCTGCTCAGGAATTCTCCGACCCTTTCCCGCCCCACCCACTGYCCCTAGCAGAAATCCCTTCATTCGCATAAAGCCCYATCTTACCTGTCTCGCATTTTAAAAAGAGGAAGAGAGCCTCAWTTGCTTTTTAGAAGTGTCTGGATGYGTGTTGAAGAGCAGAGGCTCACYTGAGGCAGTTTCTGAAAAAGGTTTACATAGTGTGACAAGRTAAAGTTAGCTAGGTCACTTGCTGAGCTTGCGGTGTTGGGTCATTCTGAGTCATTCTGAAACTTCTGCTGGTGATCTGCAAAAGGCGCCTTGGGGGTAGTTGGTGGATGACAGGGGTCAGGGGTTGGTGGGGGCTTTGCTGGTGCCCCCCAGTGCTCCCCCCCCCCGACCCTCTGACCCTGCTGCAGGATAGGCGATGAGCGAACAAGCAAGGATATGGGACGCTGGACCCGGTTTCCAGCACAATAGGTGTCACAGTCACTATCTGTTATGGATGTAATGACACATTCAAGGGACGCTGGACCCGGTTTCCAGCAGGTGAAGCTCCCCACCAATAGATGGAGCGGCCCGCCAGGCAAGCCTCAATCCCGGTGGTTCTCCTACCACCACCAGGATAGAGGCCTTGCGCAGGAACCTTCAGGTAAAAAAAAAAAAAAAAAAAAAAAAAAAAACAGACAATGATTACAACTGAGCTCGAGAGAGATCAGTCTTTGGCTATATAGTATATACACCTGCTGCGTTCTGAGGCACTCACTGGTACTGTTGCCTAACTCTGACTATACATCATGGGGTCTTTGCACAGCCACTGCGGCTTTCCGTGGGGCACTGGAGGGCCGATTCCCTCTGGTCCCCACCACTGAGAAGTCTGTTCTAGCAAATGGTCAAAAAGCAGCTTCAAGGCTCAAGGCTGGAAACCGGGCCCAGCGTCCTGTAAACCGTAACCCGTAGACCTCGTAAAAGACCTAGCTGGAAACGGGGTCCAGCATCCCATGGTCCTGGCCGAGCCTATGGTGGCGCTACTAGGGAGAGCGGGTGAGGGGGAAAGTGGTCAGGGAAATTCGCTGCGGGCCTCAGGGGGATCCCGGGATCAACTGTTGTGCAATCCCGGAAGACTAACCGGTAGTTTCTAGGCACCTCCCCCCCTTTCACCCGCTCCTCTTCCCCCAACCGCTGCTGTTGGGGTTCATCCCCAGACCATGCCACAGCTGGCATCCACCCCCCCCTGCTGCCAGGCAGCCATCCCTTGCAGAATGTTGTGATGATCTTGTCTATGTAGCATCGTGTGTGGACAACGCTCATCTTTTGCCTGGCCGCTTGCCATTGGTTGGAGATCTCAGCTTGCACCAGTTGTTTGACCTGGTCCGCCACCTCTCCTTCCTCCACCTGTGCCCTTTCCAATTGCAACACACATCTTCGCCACCAGATAACTCAGAGGATGGACCGCCTGCTAGTCGAAACAACTTTTCTGCCAGGGTTTCGTCTGGGCAGTATGACCAATATCCTGTTAGTACCGCTCTGCAGTCCCATGGCCAAACCTGGCCCGGTACTGCCTGCCTTCATATTCTGTCCCAGCACTGCCACAACAGCACAGACGAGGGGCATTGCAAAAAAAGATGTTCAATCGTCTCTATCCTCTTTTGAGGCGGGTATTTCTGCAGGCACCTTCGACACCAGGGCATTGCCCGCCCCCGCTGCTCCAGCCTTGTGTGGTTGATCAGCCAATCGTTGGTGGGGAGGCAGCAATGTGCAATCTGCCACTGGAGGGCGAACGCCTTTTCTGGCCGCCCCTTCGCCTCCCAAAACCACGTAATGGGCCGGAGTAGGAGCCGATCCACATTAAGGTGGCACTGCCACCAGCCCCGTGCTCTCCTCCCCCCCGGGTTCCACAGCCACTCCCCAGGGTCAACGGGTCATTGGGTGGAAGGCCCTCCAACCATCCCCGACCGAAGTGCATTGCGTGGAAGTCCCTCCTCCTTGCCTCACCCTCGTCTGTGCTGTTGTGGCCCACGGGTAGCATACCCACAGGTACCTTGGATGTATCACAGGTTTTCAGTCGTCTCTATCCTCGTTTGAGGCGGTGTCATTGGGTGGAAGTCCATCCCAGGTAACGTGCCCACAAACTACCTGGGATGTATATAGCTGCTGGAAAAAGGTCCTGGTGACCAGAGTACAGTGCGCCGTGGACGTGGCCAGACTGTCATCCCCCCTATCCAAATCATGGAGGGCTTTGATGACTGTGTGCCCTGTTCGTGCTAAAGCCAAGTTGAAGAATCGCGTGTCCATGCATTGGTAGCTTCATAGTTGAGATGAGCTAGTTTGCTGTGTATTCTTAGTCCTTGCCATCTTTGCTGCGCGGATTGCAGTAGTTCCTGCTTCAGCCGTTGAATGTTCCCTCCCTGCGCCTGAGAATCTACCTGCTGCTCCAGGTCATGGATCTCCCTATGGATCTCCAACTCTTGACGATTCCCCTGCGCCACTCGTTCCTTTGAAAACTGCTTGCACTTCTTTGCACGGTAGATGTGGCATACTCCGTACCACACGGGCCCAGCAAAACCCGACCTGGTAGACTAAGGGTCCGTAGGAGTAGGGCCTGTTTCGTTTCAGCCTAAAAGCCTGAAACGAGGGCCTACAGGCCCTGTGTCATTTCAGCTTCCAGCCTGAAAACGAAGGGCCATTTTCAGGCCCTCGCAAGATCGACCTACCCTGAAACTCAGGCACCAGACCGGGGTTTTTAGCTCAGGCCATGATGGCTTATTTTGTGGAGCGTCAACCCCAGGGTCTGGCACGTTTTGGCATAGGCACGAGCAGCCTCCCAGACGGGCCAGCACTATATAAGGCTGACCCGCCCTGTAGGCTGCAGGCAGTTCCCAGGCACTTCGCGTGCAGAGGGCAGGAGGTAGTCTTCAGGACTCGGCAGCGGCACTCTGGAGGTGTCGTAGCGGTAGCAGTAGTCTTCAGCGCTAGTAGAGAGAGAGAGGGATGGTTGGCGGAGGCCAGGGAGACTCACTTGCGGCGCCATAGCTCCAGCTTCGTCGTCGAT